GAATCCCAGGAATCTGTTTCGTTTTTGGTAAAATAGAAATAACAGCAGTAGCAGTCGGCTCTGTATTACAACCAAGTACACGAAGCAGTTAACTTTACAGTGAGAAAAACCTTTGATCCCAGGACCTGGGGATGAAGGAGCACAATTCGAGGTCAGCCGCGTTACTAGGTTTCAAGAGAGCCTGTTTCCGAGTTGGCGGGGTGAGGATGCATATGGGTGAGTTTATTCATCTAAATTTAGGAGGTCCCAAGTACAAAATCAGGGGGCCCACTGGCTTATCCTCTGGTGATGGGGCACATCATGACAGGAGCATCTCAGAGCACAGCAGAGAGGAAAGAGAACAGGTGGAAGGGGTCTCATAATCCCCGTGAGACCATGCACCTACCCAGTAACCTAAGAATCGCCCATTAGATCCCACCACTGAGTTCACCACCAGCTTTGAACTTAACATCTGAAGCACACACCACCTGGCAGCTGCTCTAAGGAATCAAGGAAATAAAGCACGCGTGCAACTCGGGACACTGGTACCTGTTAGCTGTTGTGTAAGTGGATGCTATTATTGTTAGTACTACTAGGAACAGTTGCTTCAAATTATGTGAACACGATGCATTTAAGCATTGGATGCAGGTCTCGTTTGAATTCCAGTCACATTCTAATACTATCAGTATATCCACGCTCTCAGGACCCTTACCCACGGCGCAAATCCCAAGTATAATTCCCTGTGTACCCACTGGCAGGTACCAAGGCCTATGGCTGAGTGAGGGCTGACCCTAGATGCTGGCAAGTATCCAAGGCAATCTTTCTACCTGCGGAGTCAGTGGGCCGACCTTGCCTTTGTCAGTTCTAAGCAATAGTCTGTGAGAGTCTTCTGAATGTGGAATTCTGTAGCAGAAGCTGCCTCTGTGTTGGGTGAACTGAGTTCTACTGCCTCCTCGTGGCCACAGAGTAGAATCCACATCTCTTAGTTTGAAACCGAATATAATAAAAACTACTTGTGAGCCATTTTCTCACTTAACTGTTGCTCTCTGGGTTAGGCTACAAGTGTTAGAAATGCAAGAGAAGTCGGGCAGTGACAGTGCACACCTTTAATCCCAGCACTCAGGAGGTAGAGACAGGAGGGCCTATCTCTGTGAGTTTGAGGCCAGCCTGGTCTATAGAGAGAGTTCCAGGACAACAAGAGCTACACACAGAGAAACCCTGTCTAAAAAAAAAAAAAAAAAAAAAAAGGAATATAAATAAACCTAACATATGGCTCCAAACCCATCCTTATTTTCTAACTACCTATATTTACTGCTTATTGTTATCTCATTAAATATTAAGTGTTCAATAAAAATAGCTATCTATAAGTGGTAAACCGGCACATTTATATTTAATGTATATTGCAATGATTTTTTTCTGTGTTTTATTTTTGTTTTGGAGACAGAGTCTCACTATGTAGCCTTGGCTGTCCTGGAACTCGCTCTGTAGATCAGGCTGGTTTTGAACTCAGAGATTTGCCTGCCTCTGCCTCCCAAGTGCTGGGATTAAAGGTGGTGCCACCATTGCCCAGCAATGAAAACAATTTTATGGCTGGGGTCACCACAAATGAGGAGCTGTGTTAAAGGACTGCAGCCTTAGGAAGGGTGAGAAGCTGCTCTAGAGGAAGCAAACTCTAGCCCTCTAGAACAGCGAGCACTCTAACTGCTGAGCAGTCTTTCCAGCCCTTGTGTTTCTCTGTTTTGCTGTTATTTTAGGCACAAGACTTCATGCAGCTTAGGCTCACTTCCAACTTGCTATGTAGACTAAGATGACCCTGGTCCTTCGGTCTCCACCTCCCAAGTGCTAGGATCACAGGCATAAGACACTGTACTGGGTCAGACCAGACACATTTTCTTCTTTTTTCTCCCCCCCCCCCCCAGTGTTTCACTGTACAGCCCTGGCTGTCCTGGTGCTCCGCAGACCATGCTGGCCTCAAACTCAGAAATCGCCTGTTGCCTTCTTCCCTCTTCTCCATTGCCCCTCTTTCTCTGGCCTCCTGAATGAGCCTCTGGCCACCAGGCTCTGCTGAAAGGCTCCACATTCCGCTGTGGCATTTTGCTCATACACACACATACACAGACACACAAATGACACACAATGTTCATTTCTTTGTTTGAGACAGGCTTTCTCTGTGTAGCACTGGCTGTCCTGGAACTAGCTCTTGTAGACCAGGCTGGTCTCGAACACACAGAAATCTGCCTGCTTCTCCCTTCCAAGTGCTGGGATGGATTAAAGGTGTGCGTCACCACCACCCAGACACACAATATTTTAGAAACTATTTAATGCTTGAAAGTGCGTGATATATGGGTGGGCACACACACAAGCCAAAGCACATATGTAAAAGTCAGGAGACAGTGTTTGGTGTGTTCTTTCCTGGGATTAAAGGCATGTGCGACCACAGCCTGGCTGCCTTTTACATTCTCAAGACATATTAGCCCCAGCCAATTTTTTTTCTAATTTTTATTTTTAAAACTAGGACTAGTTTTGAGGACCCTTGAGAACCTAGATCCTGCCAGAAGGGAACAGGAACAAGATAACACCTAGTCTGAAAGCAGAGGCTCAACCCTGTGCCAAAAGGACAGGATCATGAAACCAAAATCAGGTGAGCAAGGTGTGGGGGCGCACACCTTTGATCCCAGCACTCAGGAAACAGAGGCAGGTGGATCTCTGTGTGAGGCCAGCATGGTCTACAGAGCAAGTTACAGGACAGCCAGGACTACACAGAGAAACCCTGTCTTGGGGGGAAAGAAGCATACAATGATTGCTACACAAGTCTGACAAACTGTGTTTGCTACTGGACCCCCATGATGGTTCAGAGAACTGACAAGCCGTGTTTGCTACTGGAACCCCGTGATGATACAGAGAACTGACAACCCGTGTTTGCTACTGGACCCCCATGATGGTTCAGAAAACTGGCGACCCGTGTTTGATACTGGAACCCCATGATGATACAGAGAACTGGCGACCTGTGTTTGATACTGGAACCCAAAAGTTGTCTTCTTACTTTTACATATCTTGCATGTGTGTGTTCCCACCCATACATTACACACTTTTATACATTAGTTCCTAAAGCATTGTATGTCATGTGTGCATGCACACACATGTATGTTGTGTTTATGAGCAAAATGCCACAAAGTAAAGTGGATCCTGTTGTGGGTGTTTTACTCTTTTGGCTGAGGGGCCCACTAACCAGATCCCAGAAAAATCACACACAGAAGCTTATTCTTACTAATAATCACCCTGCCTTAGCTCAGCTTGTTTCTTGCCCGCTTTTCTTAAATTATCCCGACTACCTTTTGCCTCTGTGCTTTTATCCTCCATTAAAGGTACTAAGTGTGTACCTTTCTTTACTTCTTTCTCTGTGGCTGCTGTGTAGCTGGGTGGGTGGCCCCTGATGTCCTTCTCCCCTGGTTCTGTCGTTGCTCTTCCTCTTCCTTCTATTTATTCTCTCTGCCTGCCAGCCCCGCCTATCCTTGCTCCTGCCTCGGTATTGGCCATTCAGCTCTTATTAGACCACCAGCTGTTTAGACAGGCAAAGAATCACAGCTTCAGAGTTAAACAAATGCAGCATAAACAGCAGCATACCTTAAAATAATATCCCCAACAGGAGGCTTTCAACAGAGCTTGGTGGCAAGAGGCCTAATCAGGAGGCCAGGGAAGGGGGGCAATGAGGAAGAGGTGGTTGGTACTGTAACCAGGTAGCAGGCCCCTATTTCACCACCCGCCTAGCCACATCAGAGCAGGCAGGGAGGGCTGAGTGGGCTAGTGCTTGCCTACAATGTGTGAGGAAGACTCAGAGAAGACCATGGCGTCAAGAAGTTGTGATTAAAGGGTAAAGAGAAAGGGGACCAGACTCGCAACCAGTCCAGCACGCCTCCCGTGTGCTCAGGCAAGACAAGGAATTCCTTTCCCCCATCTCAACAGTGCCAGAGGCTGACTCCCTGGGGAAGGGAAGCCAGAGCACCCTGGAGAACAAGAATCATCCATCAAAGCAAGGATACTGAGATTTGGTGAGGCCTCAAAGAACTTCAATGATGGTCTCTAGCCTCATTTACTTCACGTGGTGATGAAGTGAGGCTCTGCTCTCCCAGGCAACTCCGACCCAGGATGGACGTAGGCTAGAATCTTCCTGGTAAGCTCACCTTGGGGTGCTTACACACATTATTAGAAATGGGCTAAATTAATATGTGAGAATTAGCCTAGAAGAGGCTAGATAGAAATGGGCCAAGCAGTCTTTAAATGAATACAGTTTGTGTGTTGTTATTTCGGGGCATGAGCTAGCCAGGCGGCTGGGGTGCTGGGGACGCAGCCCCGCCGCTTCTTATTTCAACACAGTTATGTAAGGGAGCCCTGCTCAGACGAGAGAACTTTCCAGCTGCCGTGACTCACAAGCAATAGTCAAACGGTAGAATCACGGGAACCAAGTTGACCCACACTGCATCCCAGCCCCTCCTCCCCCCATTTAGTCCTCCAGAAGATCTGGGCTTGCTAACTCTTTCACCTAACACCTGCCAGCCGCCCACCGAGCTGTGTACAGGGCCTGTGCTGAGAACACAAAGACAATTTGTGCAATAAGGAGCTGACAGACTGAAGGGTGGGACTGTTAACAGCTCCACTAGTAACTGTCCAGTACAGGTGTGTGCAAGAGGGGAGATGGCAAGGAACAGAAGGAAAGAGGAGCAGCAGCCATGGTCACTGTCAACTAAGCACAGAATGAATGGACTACCCCACTGCATGCTGCACTGGGCAAGGCACCCCAGAGTTGTCACAGGGAGCGTCTACAGTTGGGTGGGGAAAGCACGCAGCATCAATGTTGAGGACACCTAGTCCTTGGCACACAGAAAGGACCAGAATAACACAGCTGCTTCAGTCTTCTCAGGGTACACCTAGGCTTTCTCAGGCTTTCAATAAACCAGGGGCTAGACAAACAGATGCTCATCAGAGGCAGGAGTGCGCCCGAGGCCACGGGTGGGTGGGGACAGAGACCACAGCAAGGTTGCTCTGGCAGCATCTTTATTTACAAACAGCAATTCCCAATGACTTTATACCATAAAAAAGCCATTTACAAGCAAGAAACAAGAATTCAGAACAAAATTAAGCAGCACTGAAATATTCATGTCACAAACCTAAAGCAAAATGAATACAAGAGTAAAATATCATTTGAATAAATAGTCTTCAATTCATGCTATAAAATAACCCTTAATGGCAAGTTACTAGTTGATACAGCATCCGCTTAGCTAGCTTCATTTACTTCACGTGGTGATGAAGTGTGGCGTTGTGAGGTTACCAGTTTATATTGCAAGATAATGACACCATGTGAAGTCATTCAAATTGCTCAGCCATTTGTAACGGACACTGTATTAGCCCTACTGCTGAAGTGTTAAGAGATGGTTTCACATCAGGAAAAGGTCGTTCTCAGGGGAGGCAGTGAGTTTACCTCTTGCTCTAGTCAGGGCAGCAGCCTGGGACTTAGTCTCCAAGTCCCGAGGCTGAGTTCACAGCATAACTTGTCACTGAAGGGCAGTGGGAGGTCTGTGTGCTCAATCTGCCAATGAGCAGTGAGCGGGGCTTACTCCAGTAGCTACGGAGGAGCAGCGATAGCCCTGTGTGTGCCAGACCCAGGGGGCACCTGAAGCTGGCAAGCCCTGGCAAGAAGAGTGAGAACTCTGGTACTTCCTGAAGACGACGTGTGGCGACCATTACAAATGTGGAACAGAGTGAATGACTTCGCTGAACTCTCAGTTCAGCTGCACTGAGTATATGAAATCTACGATGTAAGAACTAGACAGTTTCGTATAAAGAGTTTACATAATTTCCCAATACTTTCATATATAAAATTTAATAAATAACCCTGACCAGGCTAGAAGCACCATTCAAGGGGCATGAGCCCTTGGAAAATAGTTTAGATGTTGCATATTTGAGTCCCTTTCAGTGGAGGCTTCACAGGAAACCATTATAGAATTTAACAACAGTGATAACAAAAACATCACAGTAACAGTAACAAGTGGAAAGCTTGAAATAAGACACATCAACCTAAAGTAGAGCTCATTCACATGGACTATTTCCCCTAGCCCTTGCTTTGTGTTCCTGCAAATTCTCCCCAGAATCCAGGTTGTTAAAATCAAACTCACATACAAAAAAATATGCAGGCCTGTGGTCTGGGCTAAGGGTAAAACAAAAGAGGTGGTTATACTTGCTGTCGTTAGAAGAGACATACACTTAAGCTCTGGGAAGATTTAAAAATTACCAATTTAGTCCTACAGTATATTCTACTTAACAGTGAACCGACAGTATCCTTTCTGCTGTTCGAAAGAGAGAGGGAGGGAGGAGAGAGAAAAGGAAAGAGGGAGGAAGGAAGAAAGGAAGGGAGGAAGGAAAGGAGGAATGAAGGAGGAAGGAAGGAAGGAAACAAACAAACAATCCCCACCAACAACAAAAAATTGCCAAGGCAGAGCCAATTGATCGGGAGGCTTTTCCACTGAATGGGAAAATGAATTCATCTTTGTCGTAGTATTTACAAACCGTTTCTAAATGTATTTACAGCTTTAGTAGAAACGAGAGGGCAGAAGACTGATGAAGAAAACATAAGGACTGAAAACCACAAGTGTTAGCAAAAGTATAAAACGTCTTCACAGTTTGTGCAATGGGGTAAATGTCACAGGGAAGGAAGGGTGCTGTGGCTGTCTTCACATTGTCTAACATGGAAAGGTAGCTGAGAAGAGACTCAATTACGCACAGGCCTGTATGAAAGCAGGACATACTTCACTGTAAAGGATGTCTTCACATATGTTTATCTTAGTGGACTTCTGCGTCTGCTATAGTGAGAGACCTAACCTACAACTGTACAGGGACAGGTTTGCTGTCCACAAGGAGTCGCTCTAAGGAGTTACACAGTGAGCTTAAGGGAAAGAAGCCTGCTCGAGTGGCCAAGCTGGCTCTCCTGGCACATCCTCATGTAGCTAGGCACAATTGACCGCTGTTGCCCTGTCTGCATGGAGAGCCCTCGGCAGCCATGCCCACCGCAGGCACCTAGTGCAAGTGTGCAGACAGGCTATGCAGTGCTGTGCTGGCCTGGGCCCTGCCTCCCTCGAAGCCCCGTGAACTTTACAGTACTGTGTTATGGCTTGAGAATTCATTTTTAACACTGCTAGCAGTGGAGAGGGTAAAGTGTTAGCAACACGAATGGGAGCAAGCGCAACTTGCAAAATGCGGAATCATGATCATTAAAAACTCAAATTGGTTTTCTGCCCCTTAACAGTCCCATTACAATGTTAGAACCTGAACTGTACAATCAAAGCAATGTATATTTTTGTCAAAGACAATTTTGGATAAGTCACTCTTTGGTAAACTCAAACCAGCTAAACAAATTGACAAACATAAGAACTACAAGTACGTAAGTTCAGAAACAAGAACTACATGCACATAAGTTCAGACAGACAGTGACAAGAGTCAGGATATGGGCGTGCGGCCAGAGTGCGCTCCCCTCACCACAAAAAGTGAAAAGGAGGCTCCTTCCCTGAGCTCCACGTCGCACATCCTTGGATTTGGGGCCTTTCTTGTCACAAACTTAACTGGTATCACAACACAAAATAATAAAAAAAGAAGTTTTGCATTTAATTCTCAAAAAGAAAAATCAAAACAAAATATATTTGTGTAAGGAAAATGAAAAATCACAAACATTTACCTGAAACCTCAGAACACACTTAAGTAGGTAAACACTTGGGAGTCCATTCTCCCTTGAGGCGGTCAGCTTCCTTAGCTGAACAAATGCTTCAGGGAGAGAACCCCGATTTAGGCAGTCTGACGAGGAGAAGGCATACCGTATACCCGATCAGAAGAGCCGCTCCAGGAGCGGCAGGATTAGTCATCTACAGGAGTTAACACTGAGGTGAGGCGAGCAATTCACATATGAGCAGATCCTGTGTGCTAGGACGGTGCCACTGTGTGCACCGGGGCTGCTACACATGAAGGAAGGGCTGGAATCAAATTTTTTTCTCAAATAACCCCCGCCCCCGGCAAAAAAAAAAAAAAAAAAAAAAGGAAAAAAAAAAAAAAAAAAAAAAAAAAAAAAAAAAAAAAAAAAAAAAAGAAAAAAAAAAAAAAAAAAAAAAGCTGGGTGGTGATGGCACACACCTTTATCCCAGCACTCGGGAGGTAGAGGCAGGAGAATCTCTGAATTCGAGGCCAGCCTGGTCTACAGAGCAAGTCCAGGACAGTCAGGGCTACACAGAGAAACCCTATCTTGAACCTCCCCCACTTCCTGCAAAACAAAACAAAAAACAAAAACCACCAAACAAATTAAACAAAAACACCTCCCCCCAAACCCATCATTCTTGGTATTTTAAGAGCCAAAAAAGCATGGCAAATCAGCAAACATCTATTTTGTATTCCTTAGCTCCTAGCCTCTGAGGTTGGTCCTCAGTTTCTGGGTTTTGCTTGAGTCTGGGTCTCAGAGCCCAGGTACTCAGGCAGAGACTAGAGCGCTGCTGTCTCTGCAGTCAGCCACAAACCTGGCCTGTAAACTGCCTATCAAATTGCCCTCTCTGCCTGAGTTCACAGAACCAGAGCATTTGTGAAGCCTGTTGGTGTGTATGAACCTAAGAGCAAACAGACATTTTCCAAAGCGCTGACCAGACACAACTCAGACATAACCCGTTTGCCAGCACATGCTTTTGAGGTTTCTTTTCAAGCTGTGAACTTGAGAGGAAAGTAAATAAGTCATCACTACTCGTAGGTTTCACATTTTCTAGACAATACTGACCTAAAAGATACTTAACATAAAAATAGCACCACGTGACCAAAAATGGTGAGACGTACACACAGATTTGGTGACACACTGAGGATCTTAGATGGTTTTGACATTTTTTTCTTTAAGCAAGAAACACTGAGAGAGTGGAGGAGCCACTGAGGCTCTCATTAGCACACACAATACTAAGATTAGATATATTGCTTGCAATTCCCGTAGAGTACAGCTTTACAAAAAGTACAAATTCCAAGTTCTGCAGCTTCCCTGGGAACTGCATAGAAAAAGTTGTTGTGCACCTGAACTGGCTGTTTGAGGAGAGAGAGAAAAACCAAAAGCACAACACTACCTGGAGAATTTTGTAGGCAAGTGCTACAAACTCCTGCCCTTTAGTGAGAGCACTACTCACGGTGGAGTGATCTGATTAGTTACCTGGTATGTATGCTTCTACAGTACAGAATGAAGGTAGGTAGATTTGTAGTAAAAACCTTGAAAACCATTGCTCCTTTGGGGTTGGCTAGTATAACACTACACTGTGTAGAAAGGTCAGCACCACAGGTCATCCAGCACAGCTGGACAACGAACAAAAGTTTCAAATGGTTCCCACTACAGTTGAAGGAGTTTTATGGCATTTGGTTTATGTGTTTGTTATGAAGCAGAGCTATGAACACTGTGATTTGCTTTGCTTGCATTTGGACACAATGATTACTGTATGTGAAAATCTACTGACATTCTTCAGTAAAGGAAAACAAAGGGTGGAAACTAACATAGTAGGCGGGGTTGAAACAGAGTCAGACTCTGTTCACATTGTATTAAATTATATATTCCTCTTACATTCACCTCAACCAGAATAAACCCCAATTTGAGAATGTATATATACTATATATATAATAACCACTTTATTATATATATATATATAAATTGTCTAACTACCCCTAAAACTAATTTTAAATTAGAAAAGGTTACCCATTTGTATCAGCTGACGGCATCCTAGCCTCTTTCCATTAAAATGCACTGGGGCTAGCACCCACAGTCAAAGAGTGCCTGCCTCTTGGCAGAGAACGTGGGGTCAACCAGTTGGCATAGCTAAATCTCTGGCAGAGTTGGGAGACGCAATCAGCCAAGGAGGAATACTGTCAGTCTGTGTTCTCCTGGCTCTGCTGCCCTTCATGCTTTGAGCTCCTGGGGGAGGGAAGAGGAGAGAAGGGTAAACACAAGTGCCACACCCAGAACCTTCAGAGAAACTACCAAGAAACCAAGAGATTTCCAGATGGGGAAAACCAAAGATTACAACAAAGCAAATCACAACTATGCATTGACTGATGTGCTTTGTTCAGGAGCTCTTTCTCTGCAGCAACTTAGTCAGGCGCATCAGATACTGTGTGGATTTCCATTCGGGAATCTAGAGCCATGTCTGAGACTGACACATCACTTTCAAGTTTCTGCTCCACGTACACATCTGTTCTTTCGGGAGACTCCATGCGACTCCTGACCTCAGTGACACCCGGGTGGTTTTTCCGCAGGTGCTGGTTGAGGGTACCCTGGAATGGAAAGCACTTCCCACAGACCTCACAGCGGAATGGTTTGTCATCAGTGTGGCCCCGGATGTGGTACTCCAGCTGGTCCTTGCGTGTATACTTCTTCCCACAGAACTTGCACACAAAGGGGGTGATTCCCATATGCAGTCGCATGTGCCTGTCGAGGCTTCCCTTCTGGTTAAAGGACTTCCCACAGTAAATACAGATCAACCTCTCATTGTATGGGTACCAGTAACCCCTTGCACTCCTTTCCCGGGGACTGCTCTCATAACTGGGATTGTTCATCATGGCTTCACTGTCAGATCCTTGCACTGCACCCTGCAGGTCACTGTGCAGGTGAACAGACAGAGCCCGCTTCTGGCGGGCACCACGGCCTCGGAAGCAGCTCAGCATGGACCTGGATGGGCTGGAATTACTCTGACTTCCAAAAGCTTCTGGCATGCTGGAAGGCTGTGAGGCTGCCTGGGAGTAGGGATACGCATGCTGGAGCACAGAGCCATAGGCACCCACGTTCACTGCCACAACTTGCTCCCCATCAACCATCTCTGTGTGGTAACCATCATCACCCAGGGAGGAGCTGTCAGAACAACTGGGCCGCTCAGACTTTTCCATCTTCACTTTTACCTCAGTGATCTGGCTCTCCCTCACTAACAAATCCCCTTGCTCGTGGTCCCCTTCAATTTGAATCTCGTACTCAGACACGCTGCCACTGCTCCCCCGATCTGAGTGTCCCTCTTCCTGTAAGCGGCTCCGAAGGGCTTTGTTGGGGGTCGTCTCCATCCGGAGATCGCTGCTGACTGGAGGCTGCCGTACCTGAGGGCAATATGGAGGGGAGATCTCAACAGGATTGGCGAAGAAGCTGCCATCTTTCACTCCATTCCGGCTCTCGGGATTCTCTTCAGCACCAATGGTGACAGAGTCAACATCTCCCACACTGATCTTTGAGTGGATGCTCTCCAGGATCTGCGTGCACTTGTCAATGACACACTGCATCTGAAGGAAGCTGGCTGCGGTCAGAAAACTGACAACATCCTTCAACTGCAAGGACATTCTTCCAGTGTAACAGAAGGACAGCAACTGCTCAAACACGCTGGGGTTCTTAATCACAGATATCGACAAGCCACTCATAGTGCTCAATGCTGAATGGTCCCGGAAATACGGAGAGCTGGCTGCGAGGACAGCTTTGTGGGCTCGGAATGGCTGACCCTGAATGTGGACAATGATGTCACATAGCTTCCCTTGCAGGCGGAGCTCGTTTAGTTGGCTCAGAACAGTGCTGCTGTGCTCAGGCACATCGAACTGAATGAAACTGCTGCTGTCCATTTCTACTGACACGAGACGTAATCTGCAGAGACAAAGAGCATCCGTAATTCGCCAGAGCTCCTCAGCAAGACAAGCAGCATAGATACGAGCTCACATCAACTCGTCAGCTAGCACTCCTAGGGTCTGCCTGAACATTCCTCCTCTTGCTTAGTTTTCATCTTCCATCTCTCCATCAATTCACCTAAAGCCAAATAAGTGAACAATCAATTAGCCCAGTATCATTCTTCTTGCTCAACACTCAATTTGATCAAAGTAAAACATTGAATGCATAGGAAGGCTGGCTCAGCTGAGGAAAAGTGGTGCCCTTCAAGAAAAATTACTATTCACCTACAGCTGAGGGTCTCTAAAGGGCTCTACAAAAATATTCCACTTCGTATACCACCTGCCTTGTATAATTCTCTATGCATGGCTTATGTCTGTGTATATGTTTATGTACACATCATATGGGGCAGGAACACGTGTGAGCATGTTTATAGGGACCAGAGGTCAACAACACTGGCATCTTCCTTCTTTTATTGAGAGTAGTCTTCCACTGAGCTCACCAACTGGCAAGTCTTGCTAGCCAACAAGCCCCAGAGCACTGCAATAATAGGCACATGTGCCCAAGTCCAGTTTTAAAATTTTTATTATTATTTGTGTGTACAGGTGTTCTACCTGACAGTATGACTATTACCATGTATACTCTGTGTCCTCAGAGGCCAGAATTGAGTGATAGACCCACTGGGACTGCAGTTATACATGGTTGTAAGCCACCCTGTAGGTGTTGAAGACCAAACCTGTGCTCTTAACCACAGTTCCAATCTTTTTTTAAAATTTCATTTTATTTATTTATGTCTGAGATGCCACGGTGCCCATGCAGAGGCCAGAGAACAACTTTTGGGAGTTGATTCTTTCCCTCACAAGGCCTGGGAGATCGAGCCCAGCTCATCAGGCTTTAAGGCAGATGCTGAATTATCTCACTGCCCTCCTTGCTCTTGCTACATGGGTACCAGGGATTGAAACTCAGATCCTCATGCTTGTGTACACTTTATGGAATGAAACATCTCCCCAGCCTCCACTCACATACTTCTAATCAGTAGTTTTTCAAGCATCCAGCAACTCAAACCAGTGAATGGAACAAACTTCTTTCCAGTGTTATCGTGATTAGGGCTTTCCCCACATACCTTTGAAGAACAAGAAATATACAGTCCCTGTCCCTTGCAGGAGAGTGTTATTTAAGGCAAAAGAAAGAAGAGTGATGGGCACATTCCAAGTGGAGGGCCCTCCATGCTACTCATGGCACTAGCATGCCCGGGCCACTGCTCCCACCACTTCTGACCCGGACCCTTCAGCACTGAACCACTCGAAACCACTGAAGGAGCTGGTGAGATGGCTCAATGGGTGAAGCTAATCAGTTTCTCAGAACCCCTATGATGGAAGAAGAATCAATTTCCCAAAGCTGTCTTCTAACCTCAAGAGCACTGTGGTATGCATGTGTGTACACACACAGGTAGACAACATGCACGTACATACTAACACACAGCTACTAAGGTAAACACAAAACTAGAACTAATAATTCTAATTTTATAGCCGGGCAGTGGTGGTGTATGCCTTTAATCCCAGCACTCAGGAAGCAGAAGCAGGTGGATCTCTGTGAGTTCGAGGCCAGCCTGGTCTACAAGAGCTAGTTCCAGGTCAGGCTCCAAAACTACTCAGAAACCTTGTCTCAAAACACCAAAATAATAATAATAATAATAATAATGATAATAATAATAATTTGGTTTTGAAATCCAACCAAGAGATATTTTGCTTTCTGAGTCAGGGCCTCACCCCACAGAGCAGTCTGGCCTCACACTCAGGCTTGTTTTGAACGCCTGGCTTACAGAAGTACACCATCACATCTAGCCAACCTGTGGAAATGCTCCATACTAAGTACTGAATCGCGAGCAAGAAGGGCCTGAGAGTAAGTCTGCCTATCTCCGATTCACTTGAGCACTAACTCCCAGACCAGATACACAAGTGACAAAGCAAACACAGTAAACTGTTAACAGTGCACACAGCAGTCAAGTGGCCACTGTGAAAACCTGTCAATTTTTCTGCAGCTTGGAAATTTTTCATAATAAAACATTGAGACTCAGAAAGCATCACCTACAACAAAAAAGGGAGAGTGCCTTAACAATTTATCTTAAGCAATAAAAAGTGAAAATAAGTGACTCAACTCAGGAGGCTATAAAAACAAAGACAAAAGCAAGCAGAATAATTCACTAGGGTATAACCACCAAAAAAAGTAAAGCCTGTAAAACGAGTCTAAATCTAAGACTCTTGCAGGAAAGGATCAATCAGTTAGTTTGAGTGGATCACATCAGAATTTTCAATCTTGTCAGAATCTGAGCTAAAACATTTATGTCAAAGAGGGATGTTATGCTTCTATTTATCCTAGACTTCTGATTGAAGTCAATTTGAAATCTGCATGAAATGGACATATTTTTAGCATAACATAAATTGGCAGAACTAAATGAAAAAGACACAGAAGTGCCAAGGCACAAACGATCTCCAGGCCGTTCACACTGTTCTAGCCGCGTGCGGAGACACGGAGGCATTTTAGTGCATCTGGCACAAAGCTGACTCCCAGAATGACAGGCAACTGAAAGAAGTCTGCTTCAGCTAAGGCACTGCAAGGCCCTCTGCAAACGCCAAGAACGAGGAACACTGGCTAAGGTTTGGACACTGCTAAGATTACTCGTGGCATCAGAAAGTCAGAGAAACTTGCTCAGCCACATTATCATGCCAAAAATTCATCTCAGAAGTAAACACCCCTTCAGAGTAAGAAAACAGCAGTCCGATAAGCAAGAAATAGAGCCCTACTCTAGAAACAACAAACAGTATCTACTGCAAAGCAATGACATCATCCTTAGAAAGAATCATTGTCTCTTCCCAAAATGTATTCAACATAACATGTGCTAGCCCCAACATCCTTACCTCCTAGGGATTAAAAGACATTAGCATAATAACCCATCTGAAAGGGTTCTCCAGACACCATTCTGTTTAACTCAGCAGTTTGCAAACTCATTTAACTGTGGAACTCTCCTCTCAAGGTATGACATTAGTATTCCAAAGCATCAGTGCTCTGGAGAGCACATTCAGCTAAGGCATCCCATCAAGGCTTCTAAGACAGACAACACTTTCTACCGTCACATTCTTTCTTCCCCCTTCCTTTTTTTTTTTTTTTTTTTTTTTTTAAATATTTTGAGACAGGTCTCGGTCTCTCTCTACATAGCCCTGGCTGTCCTCCAATCCATTATGTAGACCAGGTCAGTCTCAAATCCATAGACATCCATTTGTCTCTGCCTCTTGAATACTAGGATTAAAGGTGTGCACCACCACACTTGGCTCTACCAAACCCATTCTTTATCTTTCCTTTTTTGTTCTCTCTTTTTTTTTAAAGTTTTTTGAGACAAGGTTATTCTGTGCAACAGTTCTAATTGTCCTATAACTCAGTTTGTAGACCAGGCTGGCCTCAAACTCACAAAGATCAACCTGCCTCTGCCTCACAAATGCTGGGATTGAATGTGTGCGCCACCAAGCTCAGCTGCCATGTTATTCTTAACATTTTTGTATTTGGAAGTGAGCCAAAGCAACAAGGGAAACTGAAGGCACACACAACCATCTAAGAAAGATGGAAGAAAGGCAGTGGTGGCGTTCACCTTTAATCCCAGCACTTGGGAGGCAGAGGCAGGTGGAGCTCTGAGTTTGAGGCCAGCCTAGTCTACAGAGTGAGTTCCAGGACAGCCAGAACTACACAAAGAAACTCTATCTTGAAAAAACAAACAAACAAAAAGAGAAACAGAGAGAAAAAAAAAACAAATTACTGGTTACATACAGGTATTCACTATTTAAAACAAAAACCACAAGTGATCACTTGCTATTGTGTCAGAATGAGGGACAACCGGCAACACAACAGCATGGGCCATAAATAAAATAAGGCACAAGGAAGAAAAAGGCATTATCTTTTTATACAGTGTACATGAGAAAGAGAACACACACATGTGGGAGTCAAAGGACAACTTGTGGCAATCTTTTCTCTTCTTTCACCATGTAAATTTCAAGTATTGAACTCAGGTCACCAGGCTTGGTAACACATGACTCCCCCCAGTGAGTAATCTCATTGGCCCACTATTTTAATAAGGAGTTTTTATATGGGCAAATGAAGACATATATCTCAGCTGTGAGACAATGCTGTCTTCTTAACTGAATTCATAAATAGAATGCAGGCCAGTGGAATTTTTTGTTAAGTTTTTTTTTTAAAAAAAATGATTTAAAGCTGGCAGGTGGTGGCACACCTTTAATCCCAGCACTTGGGAGGCAGACGCAAGTGAGTATCTGTAAAACCAGGCTGGCCTGGTCTACAGAGCCAATTCTAGGACAGCCAGGGCTATACAGAGAAACCGTTTCTCAAAAAAAATTAAAACAAACAAAAAAACACAAAAAGACTTTTAAAAAAAACGCATTGATCCTAGAACACTGACATTGATGTCCAATAATACAAGCCACATGCGTTTCGTGTTTTCTAGTTACCAGTCCCCAGAGTCCCCAGCACAGTACTAGACACAGCACCCAGAGCTCATGCACTGCTAAGTCTCCACTGCTGTACAGCACCCCAGCCCACCTAGCAGTTAGACTTGTGAAGTAAAATCAAAAGTATTCAATTTAGCGCAACAGAGCCAACATTACCACAAGGCATTTTAAATTTCTCATCATTCCACAACAAATCCTGGCTACACAGAAAAACCCTGTCTTGTAAAACCAGAAAGAGAGAAAAAAAAAAAAAAGAGAGAGAGAGAGAGAACAGAAAATCTAACCAGATGGAATGTAACAGGGTTAACAAACTCACTGGTACATACAAGCTGGGAGTCTGCTGTGTGTCGGGCACAAGCGTCCCGGGGAGTGGCTGGCGCTCCTCTAGCCATCAAAACCGCTAAGACTAGGTCATCTTTACAGCGAGGACATGGTCACAGAGACCACCTGAGCAAATGCTACTGCAAATAAGACCAAAGAGGATGTATAAAGGTTACTAATGATCTCTAGGCCGTAACAGTCCTGCAGAGAAATTGTGCCCACAGAAGGAATTCCATGTGTCAAGAGATACAGCCAGAGAACCAGGAAGGAAGACGTGCTGGAAGCTCCTGCTTCAGGAGGGACAAG